AGTACAATTCGACAACGAAAAATGCTACCTGTAAAATTATGGTTTATTAACGTCTACACCCATCACAACCCTAAACCTAATTACAGTAATGCAAATACAGTAATTGTGTGTTATATACAGCTACAGGAAACCAACAATAAATAATTTTTTTCCTACCCATTAGATTGTGTTTTATTAAAGTCTACACCTACCCCAACCCTAAACCTACCCTTATAGTAATGCAGAATGCAGATACATTAAATATTGTTGTTCAGCATGAGAAAAAGGACGCAATATTGATGTGCGCATGCGCAGTAAACCCTGGTAGGACAATCTGACGGGTAGGATAAAATGTCAGGACACCGGGACGTCGGGCTAGCGATTTTGCGAGTCCTGAGATGGGAGTCAGTGAGATTCCCCAAGGTCTTGTTTTAGGTCCGTCAGTGGTTTGATTTGTTTTTTGCTCACATTTTTGCATACAGTATGTTAGTCCTACAGCATGATTTTTTATTAAGATGGAGATGGGATGAGGGGTTATATATGGGGTGGAGTCCACTGAGCGTGATCCTTTGTGAGTCTGACATGCCATTCCACCTTCTTGTCATTCCACACATAGACATATCATAAATCCCCTTCTCTAGGCCTCAGCAACTGGTCCTGGATCACAAGGGCCAGGCCTCTTCATGAGTGTCTCTACTAGATTAACAGGGACACAAGAACAGCTGAGTCTCTCTAACCTCCACCCGTAGATGGAGAGACTTAAAAAAAACCTATTAGAGAAAGTCGGGCCTCTCTAAAGCCTTCTGTCATGTGTAAAATGAGCACTATGTGCCAACATGGCAGAAAGGCTTTTCTGTATTTTGAATACCAAAGGGGTACTGACTAAACCAGCTTGCATGGTATAAACAGTTCATCTGTCAAATAATGCTGTTTATGCTTAAGTAAAGGTGTGAGCTTCATATGTCTTCACATATGCCCTACATTAGGGGTCTCGAACTGAAATTACTGGGGCAGTGCTCTGCATTCAGTATTGATTTGGTAAAGTAAATGTCACTTTTATTCCATTTTATTTTATTTTGATTCCAGAGCAAGTATATTTCATATGTACAGTATGCACTGTTGTTCAAAAGTCTCGTATGCTCACCAAGGCTGCATTTATTTGGTCAAAAATACAGTAAAAACAGAAAATGAATATTGTGAAATATTACAATTTAAAGAAACTATTTCCTGTTTTAATATATTTTAAAATGTAAATTATTCCTGCTATGGCAAAGCTTAATTTCTAGCAGTCATTACTCCAGTCTTCAGTGTCACATGATTATAATATGCTAATTTGTTGCTCAAGAAGCATTTCCTGTTATTATCAGTGATGAAAGCAGGTGTGTTTCTGTTTTTCTGTTGACAAGTGTGACTTTTCCTGTCTCTGTCTTTAAACCAATCATATAGTCTCTGTTACCATGTGTGCTCTTACTGACGTCATGGGGAAAGCATACGTTGAATGATCAATTACTGTAACTAGCAGGCACCTGCAATAAACTTCTTTCTCGACTTTCTCCATCACCAGTTTATCTGCAGTTTATTGCAGGTGTCTGCTAGAGACACCTGCAATAAACTGGTGATGGAGAAAGTCGAGAAAGAAGTAATTATGTCTATTATATGCATGTGTTTGTGCATTTCATTTATTACCACTAGATGTAATTAGTGTTTGCAGGGTGGTGAAATCTAACCGACAGTCACTGCATGCATACTAACAGTCAATATTTGCATACTGAATTGTGATTCAGTCATCTTCCTTGGATTTATTTGCATTCTGAATTGTGATTGGTCTTTCTGGCGGCTGTCTTTATTACACAGCTCTCTGGAATACTTGATTCTCCTGATCAATCATGGCATTTAGCATGATTGTATAATAACCATTGTCTATGGCAACATATGGTAACACGGTTACAACATTCACATCTCTAGTATCATTACGCCGTCTCTCTCTCTCTTTATTTTTTTGCAAGGTATTATGCTAATTGGTGGCATTTTGCGAATCAAAAAGGTTATCTACTTACAGATTAGTAATAATATATTGATTAATATTGTTATATTTATTCTCTTAATTTACCTAGAACCAAAGTCTAAAACCTAAGATTACATAAAACCTTTTTCTTTTGCAGTCTTGCAAGCTCTGGTATTTCTTTCAGGTTTCCTCATTTTTCATGACTTCATTGTATATTCCCTCTGCCGTTACTGTTGAATGAGCACAATGAGACCATTTTCTAACAAGTAAATTGTTATTACAATGATGTTTTGAACCTTAAATCTTGAAAACAAAAACATTATGCTAAGAGGGGAAATAGGAATGAGAAATAGAGAAAAGAGATGTAAACGAGAGAAAGGTTCTCAAATGAATGTTCTCAAATGAAGTGTGAATCGCCCACTCTCCTCTTCACTTTCTCATTTCCATTCCTTCACCGCATGCTAATGAGATGGGGTGAGCGCATTGGTGGAGGGAGGGGAACGTGCTTCCAGCGACACAGACATCTTGGAGAGTGCATACAAAGCTAACAGAGGTCACAGCCCTCCCACACAAACGCCTGTAATACTTCCTGTTTTAGCTGTATACGTTTTCGTCTGCACGTCCTTTGTTTAGTTCAAACTTTATTGAGAGCGTGTCAGTCACAGGTGTGTGGGTGAGACCTGGAGCGCTGTCTGGTGTTCTGAAAGGTTACTGGAGTGTGCCTGTATTTTTGTTATCAACAAAATTCAAGTTTTGAAATTAATCTGTTGTTACCAATAATAGCAATGGCATCGTTTTTTTTTTTTTTTTTAATCTTACATTCTATAGCAAATGTCTTAATTATCATTTTAACATTTTTCTTGAACAAGTACACACCAAGTTCGAGCTGCTCTCACATTCATGCAAATTGCGCCACAGTTTCAGACCACGTCCTACAGGTGTTCTCGGGTTCTGTACCCTAGTGCGGTCCCAGGTCCTCATGACAGCTTTAACATTACCAATTTTGAATGTGAACCATGCCCTGTTTTGAACTAAACTGCCTGTGTGAAAGCACCTTAAGTTTGTTTTTTGAAAGTCGGACTAACACACCTAGATAATGCAGATTTGGCTTGCTTACCTAGAATCCTCAGCTGCGTGACAGCACCATGCAGTCCAAAGAACATCCAGAGTGGTCGTGAGTTGTCCACACACACCTGCATCCCCACATTGTTACCATTATGACTCAGAATGACTTCCCCTTCCTGTGTGACCAGGAAACCCAGGATATCGCCACTCTGCAAAGCAGTAGGCACCCTGCACACCGCCCAGAATTCCTTACGGTCAACCAGCGCTTCAGGATTGTAAGGGAGGTCACTAGGGCGAAGCACTGCTGGGTCACAGGATGTCACACCGTATGAGAGAGTCCCAGATCGAGCAGGGCTGGACTTAATGACTTTGATGAAGATGGTTTCACCAATTCGTAGTGGGCGATCTGTGAAGACCAGTGTGCGTTCTTCACGGTTGTTTTCAGATCGGGCCACAGTCTGTTCGTTAAGGGTTTTGATGTGGGCACCTCGTAGCTGGTGGAAACGTAGGTCACATTCCAAGGTGTAAGGAAGCAGTGATGACTGCTGGGAGTTCATGGAATTTTGAGGAATGGGACAGGCGACAGGGGCGGGAGGGAGTCGAAGCCTGGCATCATCTTGTTGCAGGTTAAGATCGCAAAGACTGACAGACAGGCGGGAGGTGTCTGCTTCACGTCGTAAAGAGGTGGATCCACGTACTGTGGTGAAGGATCGTGGGCGGAGAAGTTCTGGAGGGACGACTTCACTGTCTGTGGGACAGAAGTGGGATACACAGTTAGCTATCAGTTGTAAGATTAGCTATTCGTATTATACAGTATGGTTTTATTAAATGGTAGATCCTAGATTATCAACAACTATTGGGCAGTTAATCAGTCCTACAGATTTCACTGTCTATCATACTGGGGGAAAAAATAAAACTTTTTTTTTTCCTGAGGCCCCCTAGTGGGCCTTGGCTCAACTGTTTTAGAGGGTTTGTTTAGGCATTTGTCAACTGTCCAGTCTGGGAGACCAAGTGAACACCAGCTTGACCAGGCTGGGAGACCAGCTAGATTACTTTAGTCTGGTTTGCTCTTTTTTTTATGTTCTTTTATTTATTTATTGTCCAGAAGTTTTTGGTTTTTACCAAAAACATAAATGCTACAGAGTCTATTAATTCAACAAACATAAAAAACAAATTCAAAGATCTAACTTGTGTCCTACTGTTCACATCTCTGGATCAGTACAGTATGCATACAGTAAAAGTGAATTCAAGACAGCTAGTGTACATGTAATGCACTACTATTTTACATATTTACAACAGCTAAAGTTGTTTCCAAAATGGCTGCCAGGGAGTGTCTCTTTACAATCTTTACCATTTATACCAGTTACTCATTGACTGCTTGGAATAGAACTTTATAGTAATGTAATAGTAGGCTAGCATAGTACTATAAGCACAACATACCCACTGCTCCTTGCCCATTTGCCAAAAATAATGCAAAATATGAATGAAATGCTGTGCTAGCAAAGTGTTTGCGTACACTGAATTTAATTCCCCACTCATCGCAGCCTAAAATAGCGTATTACGGTAGTTTAGAGGTAGGCTAACTTAGTTTATCATAGCTCAGCACTCAAACCAGCTGAAGACTGCTGTTCCTCCTTTTGTAACTGATAGCCCCGCTGGAGTGTACCCTGTATTTAGACCTCATCTGTGCATTCGAAATATTAGCGCTAAAAGTGGCCTGCCGGTGCTAATTAGCTTGTTAAAATTAGCCGTTCATCCTAAGAGCCCACCTTTGAGAGGGAGAACATTATTTAACTTACTCAGTAAAATGGATTTTGTATGTATAGCTTATACATCAGCATCAGAAAAAAAAAATATATATATATACAGTGGGTACGTAAAGTATTCAGACCCCCTTAAATTTTTCACTCTTTGTTATATTGCAGCCATTTGCTAAAATCATTTAACTTAAACCCAATTGAGCATCTCTGGAGAGACCTAAAAATGGCTTTCCACCAACGTTTACCATCCAACCTGATAGAACTGGAGAGGATCTGCAAGGAGGAATGGCAGAGGATTCCCAAATCCAGGTGTGAAAAACTTGTTGCATCTTTTCCAAAAAGACTCATGGCTGTATTAGATCAAATGGGTGCTTCTACTAAATACTGAGCATTTTTCAGTTTTTCTTTTTTAATAAATCTGCAAAGATGTCAACAATTCTGTGTTTTTCTGTCAATATGGGGTGCTGTGTGTACATTAATGAGGAAAAAAAATTAACTTAAATGATTTTAGCAAATGGCTGCAATATAACAAAGAGTGAAAAATTTAAGGGGGTCTGAATACTTTCCGTACCCACTGTATATAGGGACAGTTTTCTAACCATATAAAAATAATTTACGTATTTAAATAATAGGCTCCAGCCTTCATGTGACCCTAGAGAGGATAAGAGGTTTGAAGAATGGCTGGATGGGTATTTTAATATTTTGATATCTACCTTGTGCGATATTTGTTTACAAAGTTTATTGTGAATAAAGGACACTATAAGGTGCTTTGCATTAGCATCCTCACAGCAGTGTTGGTTTGAAAGGCAGAGAAAGAGATGGTTAAACACAAGGAAACGACTAGAAGATAAAAAAAAATGTGGAGGTCAAGATGTGTGACGAATAAGTGTGAAAATTGTCTATGTATCGACAATGACCCACAGAGACTGTTGATTAGCTCTCGTCTCAGATAAACCCTCTTAGACCCATTACAGTATGTTTGAGTGGCTCAGCAAACAACAGCGAAAGAGAAAAAGCAGTTCTCCAACCCTCTATATTTAGTTCTATAAGGACGTAACTAATTTCCATCAGGATGAAGGACGCAAGATGGTTTGCTTAGAGATTAATCCCTAAAATACAAGGCTAACAGGTCAGCAAATGACTTATTCCCTAATTATATGCAAGGCTACTGTGCAAACAGAATGAAGCAATATCTGTGACACAACGGTTTTTCTTTCTATCTTTCAGAATAAGAGACAACAAAGGATAAGAATTAGGATTACACTTATCACTAAAGCATTGAAATACTTGCATATTACAGCTAGGGTAAGTACATAAAAAGGTTAAGTGAAATATGTTATAACGGACTACAATAGTTTGGACATGCATGCATGGGTGCAGGCTTAGTAAGGCTGCTAAAACTTTCTTAACCCTATTTTTGTGAGGTCTTGAGCAAGTTTGAGCTTGAATGCATCTATCACAACAGATGCTGTAGCATTGGTAATGATTTGCAATATATATGTTAATGTTATCTGTTAAAATATACTGTATATGTTAATGTTAATATATATATTATTATATAATATAACTCAATATAATTATTATCTCTTGTTAATTTAAAACATTTACAAATGTATATCTTGTATGTGTATAAGTATTGGTAGGCTATATGTAGAAATGAGCATATAAATATATACTCTAAAAGTAATGTTCATTGTCCTTACATGTTGGCTATTACAATAATGTTAACGCATAGGTTCTGTTTGTAAAGTGTTGCCTCTCTTTTTTGCTCCTTCTGCTTATGATCGCATTGTCTGATTTTGATATTTTGGATATATACATTTTCTGTTTGTCAGCACTCTGAATCCCATCATCGGCTCTCTAATGACTTTAAGATCTAGCTGAGATAGATTTGCACACAGAAAATCTGCCTGCCGCATGAGGTGCTCTGAACTGCAAATCAGTCTCCCAACATAAGGACTTAATTTTCCTTATTGATCCTTTAAAAAAACATTTTCTAAGAGCTTCAAAGTGTCTTGTGTGGTAGTCTGTACTAATTAGTGAAATATTAAACACTCCTAAGGAGAACGAAAGGTTGGCCCAGAGGCACTAACTCGAACACAACTACAAAATTATAAAAGGCAAGATGGAGATAAATTTAAACTTGTTAGGGTCATTTATGGACAAGAAGACGACAAAGTTACAAGAGATAATGAAGACAATTTAAATAGGAGCAGCATATTTCAAAAAAATTCTAGTGGCAAATTTCAAAACAAATGTTTTTAATATCTCTCTGGTGGCCTTTGAGTATCTTTAAAGATTAATTCACCCAATAACTAAAATGAAAATTATTAACTTTTCTTTGTCAATCCAAACTGACTTCCTTTCTTCCAAATATATGCATTTTGAAGAATGTTCACACTGCTTGTTCTCCATTTAACAAAATGATCAGGTGCTGTCAAGTTCCTTGCTCTCTGCCATAGCTTTCAGATTTTATTGTTGATCGCACATATTCAAACTTGCCACAAAAAGGAATTGGTGTTAAGGACTGATGAAACGCTTTTAAGGTGCCTTCTTTATTATTTTTTTTAATCCACATCCAGCTTATCCAATTGTTTATCCCAGGGTTTTCAACTCTGGCCCTCGAGGTCCACTTAGCTTAGCTCAAACCTTGATCAAACTCAACTACCAGTAACTTTCTAGTGATCCTGAAGACCTTGATTAGCTTGTTTAGGTGTGTTTGATTAGGGTTGGAGTTAAACTCTGCAGGAAAGTGGACCTCGAGGGCCAGAGTTGAGATCCCCTGGTTTACCCATTATTAATGGTCAGCTTCCAAGCGGTTCCCAATCCTGATCCTGGAGTATGCCCAACTCTGCACATTTTGTTTGTCTCCTTAATAAAACACACTTGAACTTATCGGCTCATTAGTAATGACTTCAAGACCTGTAATGGTTGTGTCAGATGAGAGAAACATCCAAAATATGAACTGTTGAGGTATTCCAGGACCAGGTTTAGGAACTACTGCATTATATTAAATAAACCAGCATGGACATTCATCAAAACATCTTTCATAAGGTTTGGGGTCAACATGAGGGTGAGTAAATTACGACAGAATTTTTCATTTTTGGATGGACTGCCACTTTAAATTCACAGTTAAAATCGACATACAGCTGAACCCACTCAGTTGGATGGACAGAGAAGCGGGTAATGACATCACCAAGGCAGGTCTGGCTGGAGTGTGTTTCTTAGGCTACGTCTACACGAAGCCAGAGCTTTCCCTATCCGATCTTTTTTTTTCACCTAGTCTCAAGAAATATCTGCGTCCACACGAAACCACCACAAAACGATGTAGTATACATGCCAGACCAGCATGTGGTGCTGTAATTCTGCCACAGAGATGCACTAAAAATGGAGAAGAAGACTTGGACTATGCGCATAAACCTTGCGCGCGGTATACAAACGAACATGGAACAATACATTTATTAATCTGTGTTAATGTTAGTTAATAAAAATACTTTTTTTTTGTTGCTGTTACGTGACGTAGCGGTGTCTGACTAGGGGCGAGACGTGGGCTGATGATGTCATCGTTTCAGAAAATATACGGATTCGCTGTCCACACGAAAACGCATGGGCGGCGTTTTCAGATTTATCCACTCTGGGACCCGGTTTCAAAGAATATCGGTTTCACTCCCCCAAAACGCCGGATCCGTCTGGACGAAACGCCTATACGATACAAAATTTATGCGTATACAGCTAAACGCGTCTCCGTGTGGACGGGGCCTTAGATCAGGCTCATTAGAGTAAAGCCATGCTGTAAATAGGATTAATCCAGGCTTCAGTGTCCCTCACTGCCCTATACCTGGAGGCACGGACGCAAGCCTAGAATCTAGTTTGAACAGACATGATGCTTCTCTCTGGATAAATCACATAACAGAAGTGGACAGGGAAACGAATGGTTGACAAGGGATAAGATAGAACAATTAGTTTCTTTTTTTGTGAGCAAAAAATG